ACAAATGCCATTGTCTTCGATTCTCCTCTTGATGACAATGATTCGGTGTTAGTGCGTAGCTACTGCCTGCTTGATTTATATCGGGTTGTTTTGTCCAAAATTACTAGTGTTTCTGCAAATCCTAGGACTAGCTCACAGAGGGTTTGTCATCGGATTCCTTAATTAATTATTGATTTATTCTATTAAGAAAGAAATGTTTGTTTATTGTTTAGTTGTTTATGTAATTTATGATGTTGCTATTAGGTGGGTATGGAAGAATACAGGACGAGTGATGAAAATTCGATTGAACAATGAATGTGGGATGAATTTGAAAATGAATTCGTGGGTGAACTTGATTAATCTTAGATAAATATATAATATTATCCGTTCAAAAATAAATTCTTAATGTTTTTACATTGAAAACTCGCCATCATAATATTTGTAATGCTTTAACCTTACCCAAAGTAATTTCACCCATTTTGCCTGTGTCATTTTTAAAACCCTATTTTAGTTACACGCACACTCATAGGCTGACTGTCGCCGGTTTCGCATGCGCTTTCTAATTCCTCTCATCTCAGCCGTTTGCAGTGGTCACAATCGCATCACCTCACGCCTCTTAAACGCCCTCCCAACCAAATCCCAACTCTCAAACGTACCATCATTTCTCAATCGCCGACCGCCATCCATGGACGCATCGGAGGAATCGCTCCGCAAAGCTCTGGCGGAGAAGCTATCAGCGGTGGAAGCTCATGGCAACACGGTGAGAGCTCTTAAAGCCGCCAAGGCCTCCAAGCCGGAAATCGACGCTGCAATCGAAGCCTTGAACAGCTTGAAGCTCGAGAAATCGTCGATCGAGAAGCAGCTCCAGGCTGCAGTTAGTGGTGGCGATGGTGATAGTGCTCGTAGCAGGGAAGCCTTCCGTCAAGCCGCTGTGAATACTTTGGAACGGCGTTTGTTTTACATCCCGTCTTTTAAGATTTATCGGGGTGTTGCTGGGCTTTATGACTACGGGCCGCCCGGTTGCGCCGTTAAATCAAACGTTCTTGCTTTCTGGCGTCAGGTATTGCATGTTTATTGCTCTTGCAATTTTAGAGAATTCTATTTACTTTGACAGCATTAGCGAAGCATTAGGAAACATGCGGATCTTTACTGAATTGATAGATGATATAAATCGAACTTTATTCAAATTGGAGTTGTTTCAGTTTTGATTATTCCATATCAAATTAAAGTCAGTTTGATCGCATATTCTTGCTTAGTTGCCTTATGTAAGTTCGTAAGACGATTATATATATTAAACTCAAAACAGTTCTAATTTAGCTTGTTGGAATTGCTATTTTTCAGCACTTCGTTCTCGAAGAGAACATGTTGGAGGTTGACTGCCCCTGTGTGACACCTGAGGTTGTCCTGAAGGCATCTGGTCATGTTGAAAAATTTACTGACCTTATGGTTAAGGATGAAAAAACTGGAACCTGTTATCGAGCTGATCACTTGCTGAAGGACTTTTGCAATGAGAAGCTTCAAAAGACCTCACCATCAGTGCAGAGAAGCTGCTGAGCTTAAGCTTGTACTTGCTACACTGGATGATCTGTCACCTGAAGCGTTAGGTGCAAAGATCAAAGAGTATGGTATTACTGCTCCGGATACTAAGAATCCTCTCTCCGATCCTTACCCATTCAACTTAATGTTCCAAACATCTATTGGTCCATCTGGTTTGAGCCCTGGGTAAGTGCATTGATTTAGCATGTTGTTGGTGAACTATGTGGGCTTTGATGTCAAAGTATGTATTTTACTTGTTTTGCTGCTGCTAGAGTTTTGTGGCTTCATAATTTATCTTTGGCTGTAATTATTCTACATAAATGTAGCATTATATCCAAAGAATATTGACTAATTTGGCCTACTGCAGGTATATGCGTCCTGAAACAGCACAAGGGATCTTTGTGAATTTTAAAGACTTGTACTATTACAATGGGAACAAGCTTCCTTTTGCTGCAGCCCAAATTGGTCAGGCTTTCCGAAATGAGGTCTTAAAATCTTTCTTTGAATCTGAAAAACATGTCAATCACAAATTTGCTGCTTGGATTTTTTTCAACTGAAGTTGACTCACTATCCCCTGCTATAATTTGGTGGTTCTTGGATTATTGCTTTCTTTGTTTTTAAGATAGTTTTTCTCATTAATGTTCATTATATCATGCTCTATATGTGCAGATATCGCCTCGCCAAGGGCTTTTGAGGGTTCGAGAATTTACTCTAGCAGAGATTGAGCACTTTGTTGATCCTGAAGACAAATCTCATCCAAAATACTCTGAAGTTGCAGACCTGGAGTTCCTGATGTTCCCAAGAGACGAGCAAATGTCTGGACAATCTGCAAAGAAAATCTGTCTTGGTGATGCTGTTTCAAAGGTTGGGCTTCGACCATTTCACTTTTCCTGTTATCCTCCCTTCCCCTGCCCTTTTGTGATGATACCATGCTTCTTGTAGGGAATCGTCAACAATGAAACCCTTGGCTACTTTATTGGAAGAGTTTATCTCTTCCTAACTCATCTTGGTATAGACAAAGACCGTTTACGGTTCAGGCAGCATCTTGCCAATGAAATGGCCCATTATGCTGCAGATTGTTGGGATGCTGAGATAGAATGCTCATATGGTTGGATTGAATGTGTTGGTATTGCAGACAGATCTGCTTATGACTTGCGTGCTCACTCAGTAAGATCTTGTTCTCTGTGTTCATCTTATATTTCTTTATTTTGTTAAGGTGGTTATTGTAAAATATCTTAATATCATAATTAATTAGGGTAAGCTGCAGTGAGGATGCAAGATTTTATGTTTTTTTGGGGGGCCACTTTTAAAATTTTAGAAGGGGGTGAACTTATAAAATTCCCGGGGGGGGGGGGCGACTGCCCCCTTGGTCCATCCCTCGTAAGCTGGCCACCTTGGTTATGTTTAGGAGCGCCATATTAACACATTAATTTTATCAAACCAAATCTGGTTTTTGTCCTTCCTACTGTTGTGACTTCTTAGCTACGTTTGAGTAATCTGGCCATGCTATCAAAAGCTAAGTGAAGCACAAAAAGAAAAACTATTCCTTTTCTATGCAAATATTATATGCTAAATAGATGCAGCTTAATTTTATTGTTCATGTCAGGAGAAAAGTGGTGTCCCACTTGTGGCTGCTGAGAAGTTTTCAGAACCTAGAGAAGTGAGGTATTTTTTGCGGATTACCCCCATCATTTTCATATGTTAGGCTAATGTTAAGATTACATGATTTATATATTTATAATACAGGAAAAGATCCTTGCAGTTCTACTGCGTGAAGTCGTAAATAAATTGACGGCTTGTTCATAAATTTTCAGAAATTGGTTATAGCTCCTGTGAAGAAAGAGCTGGGCCTTGCATTCAAGGGAAACCAAAAGAATGTCGTAGAAGCTTTGGAGGTAAACGATAAACTAGTTTTTTGACCTTTCAATATTTCATGCCGTGTGCTGTCCTGCCTGTATCACCTCATGCTTGAATATCTTTTTGCTTAGGCAATGAACGAAAAAGAAGCTCTCGAAATGAAGGTTGCTTTGGAATCCAAAGGGTGGTGGAATTCTATGTCTGCACTCTTGGGAAAAATGTGCCCGTTAAAAAGAACATGGTCTCAATTTCAAAGGAGAAAAAGAAAGAACACCAAAGGGTTTTTACACCATCTGTGATCGAACCATCCTTCGGAATCGGGCGGATAATTTATTGCCTTCGACACTCTTTCTACACAAGGCCAAGTAAAGCTGGAGATGAGCAGTTGAATGTTTTCCGGTTTCCTCCGCTTGTGGCACCAATTAAATGTACTGTATTTCCACTGGTCCAAAATCAACAGTACGAGGATGTCGCTAAAGTTATTTCAAAGTCATTGACGGCTGCTGGAATATCACATAAGATAGACATTACAGGTATTTGATTAAAGAATGATGCCTCTAACTTGCATGAACTTCAACTCATCACTTGATCCCTTGTGGTATTTACAGGTACCTCAATAGGTAAAAGGTATGCTAGAACAGACGAACTTGGTGTGCCGTTTGCTGTTACTGTTGATTCCACGAAGGACGTGACGATCCGGGAGAGAGACAGCAAGCTCCAAGTCCGTGTTAGCGTGGAGGAGGCAGCATCAGTTGTTAAGTCCGTGACTGATGGACAACGAACATGGGAGGACGTGTGGGAAAAGTTTCCGCATCATGCTTCTGGTTCGGCAGATGATTAAGTCATCAGAAATTCCAGCACGCATTTGTTAACATAATAACACAATATCCGAGTTGGGAGTTAAAAGTTTTCATGGTGATTTTGATGGAGATTACAGTATTATTAAAATCCGAATTTAGCATTTAGTACCTCAGGAATCTGTTGATGTTTCTGGAATTAAGTTAATTATATAATTCTATAAATTTAATCGAAATTATTATTTGAATAGATTATTGACATCTAAGGAATATGTGAAATATGTAAAATCAGGACGAAAATATGATTTTATTTAGGGAGGTGAACTTGAACCTAGGGGAGGTGAACTTGAATTTATAAAATTTTAGTGAGAGTGAATTTGAATTTATAAAATTTTAAGGGGTTTTCTATCCTTCTAGTCTAGTTCATTTTCATTTGGTAGAGCGTAAGGCTCTTAATCTTGTGGTCGTGGGATCGAGTCCTAAGGTGGACAATTCATAATTCTGATTGCTGGAGGTCTTTCACGGAAGCTGTTTTCAACCTGGCGTTAGAGGCAGCCTAATACCTTACCTCTCTCTCATCTCATTACATATAGGAATAGGGTCATCTAATAAAAGTAAAGATTTAGGTTTAGCTTTTGATATGGACGAAAATAAAAAAAAAATTGTTAAAATGATCAAGTAATTTAACCATTAGATTTATAATGGAATGGGTTAAAAACGAAATTTAGGTATAGTTTAAGGGCTAATTTATCTATTATGCCCAATAGAAAATAATAAAAGACAAGGATAAATATAGAGGGGGCAGACAGCCCTCCGAAAAGCCCCGCGTAGAAACTTCTCTCTCTCTCGAATCTCACCGTCTGACGGCGTCAATTTCAGCCGCAACCCCTCGCCTTCTCCAACTGTGGTACGTCCTTCAATTTCCTCATAATTTCTTCTATCTAATAGATCACCCAAGCCAAAGTGAAATGTGCGTTCCTTGGTTTCAGAGACCAATAGCCTGCTTTTCACTGCAGCAGCAACAATCTCAGCTGATTGAGCGAAGAAAAGTAACGGTCCGATGGAGATATTGGAACGGCAATGGCTGCCTCATCTGGATTTACTGATAGTACTTTTTTGTCACTTAAAATTGCATTTCATTTTCACCACCGCCTTGGTTAAAAATAATACTTTGTTAACACAAATTGTTTGGATCACAGTGTCTGCACTTAGGGGAAAAGATTATGGGAAGACCAAAATAAGGTATCCGGGCTACACTGAAACAGAATCAGGTCTTCAGAACAAGGTCATTTTCGAGGAGAAAAAAATCAATTCAAAATTAAATATAGTGTAATTGGTGTGTGTGTTCTTATATCTAAATAAAAATTTCAATGAGAATGCAGGATTTGCGGGTGGGGGATGGCAGTACACCCAGGATGGGAGATACAGTTGTGGTAAGCAACAATTTTCAAATGCTTTTTACACCATGGATTTTATGTTAGGGGTGAATTTATAAAATTACGAGGGAGGACGAACTTATAAAATTTTAGAGGGCAAAAATAGATTTTCAATTGAAAATATAAAAAATATTTAAAATATATAAGAATTTGAAATTTGTAGGGGCTGCCCCCATCCGCTCTCCCCGGTCCATCCTTGATGTTGATAATAGTAAATTGTTGTGTCAGCCAATTTGTGGTACAATAAGCTTCCAGTTGAAGCCATTGTGTTATCAAGCTGAATACAATGGGAAATCTTTGTAATTCTAGTACTTGTTTAGCTAGTTTCATTTGGAATGAACCTTTGGACATGTAAAAATGGAAGGTCTGAGAAGCATTGGGAAGAGCATGATTAAGCATTAGAAGGTATTAGGTGGAGTTTGGCACATAAGGATCATATCTTTGTTAGTTAACGTGAAGTGATTTTAATACCTTCATATTTGGATCACAATTGTTTTTGTTATTTTTTTGGTCTAAGCTAGTTCAAGCACTCTTATGAGCATGGATATGCTGTAGGTTGATTGGGATGGCTACACTATAGGATATTATGGCCGCATATTTGAAGCTCGAAACAAGAGCAAAGGCGGTTCCTTTGTGGTACATAACGCTTCCCATCCTAGTTCTACTAGTTCTACATGTCATCCTAAATTAGTTGATTATATCATTATTTTAATTTAGCCGGTTTAAAATATGCAGGGAGATGACAAAAACTTATTCAAATTTAGACTTGGATCCCAAGAGGTGAGTAGTTATTTTTGCCGAAACATTGATAATGTTCTCCATAAAAACTCAAAAATGTTTGCTTTTGATCTACAGAAAGTTTGGTCAGAATATCTTTTTACAGTTTATGCTCGTCTAAGGCCTCAATTAGTACCTTTTATTTTAAAATTTATAATCCACTTCCAAAATGCAAATATGTATGAAGTTTTCCTGCTATATATTGCAGGTTATTGAGATGTAGATGGATATTGATATAATAATATAAAAATGAAACCTTTGAACAAGTTTTTCTCGTTATCTATCATTCAGGTGATTCCAGCATTCGAGGAAGCAGTTTCAGGAATGGCTCTTTGTGGTGTTAGAAGGTGCTTGCTATGCTTTTCTAATGCAGACAATCTTGTTTACTGTATTTACACATTGCATACTCTTCTCTATAATATCCTGTGTCAAATAAACCCTCAACCTTGATCAATGGTTTCGAGTGCATTTCACTGCTTTTACTCAATATGAGCTAATAATTTGTGTGATCCAAGCTGTAAAACATCTTTAACTTGACGCAGATACCCGACACTTTTTACAACGAAAACAATCAAGGATGAAGTAATTTCTGTTGTGTGATAATATCTTACGCAAATTTCACAGTTTACTTCACAGTGATGCAGGATCATAGTTCCACCAGAACTGGGATATCCCGACAATGACTACAACAAAAGTGCCCCCAAACCAACGACCTTCTCGGTAAAATTCAAGCCGTTGGCTCATTGTGTTCTATTCTTTTGTTCGTATGATGTAGTGTTTTTCCGTGTATTCCACAGGATCAACGAGCATTAGATTTTGTGCTAAGGAATCAAGGGCTCATAAATAAAACTCTACTGTTTGATACTCTAGTGTTTTTCCGTTAGTAATTGGGAGTTGAAGTCATCCATGGCTGAAAATATTGGAAAACATTGAGCAAAGAATGTAAAGTATCTCTTTGAAGTAAGCAGTGAGGCCATGTTTCATCCACCAAATTCTAGCAATTTTTGAAATATGGAGCAACTCTTGACAATTTTTCTTTTTACTTTATATATTAACTAAAATTTAATGGTGTGAAGAAAGATGTGATTGTCCATTATGTCCAAATTTTGTTATGATCCAAATTCTCATTTCAGTTTCAAAAAGGTTTAGTAGCGTTCATGTATTGTTGTGTTTATACTGTTCTTTTTGCTGGTTCTATCTGGTATGTGCATATGTTGAAAACAAATCATTCTGAATGATATAGAGTGATTACAAGACAATATCTATTCAAAATTTTTCTTACATAATTTTTCTTAGACATTTTTCTTAGTCATTGACACTTGATCCTATAATTTCTAAAGCAAACGAGGCTACTTGATCGGTTCAGTAATCAAAATAACGGCGGGTGTACAAGCGGTGTAAGGTCTCATCAAGGTGGTTCGGTCCCATGTTCTTTTGTACAAGTTGGTTCACTACCACAATAATTGCTCCCTTACCCCAATTAATGGCGGGTTCTCCACTTGTATAAACAAAATCAAATTCTTTTATTAATCCTTGTACAATGTCTAAGTTATCGATTAAGTCCATATTGATTTGGTCAAATGCAAGACATGCATGACCGGGACTTGCAGGAATCAACCATGTTTGTCGGCTCAAAGAATCCCAATCAACATCATGTGAAACTTGAACATAATGACTCCTACTCGTACTTTTGTAATGTTCAACATATTTAGCATAGGTAACAAAGTACACCCGATATTCGATTGTTACGTGTCATCGAGCCGATTCTGTGATAGTTATGTTTACAGGCAGCTACTATAACTTCTTCACACAGTTAATTATTATATTAGCTTTTTACATTGAAAGTAACACCATTATCATTCAAGTATGAGTAGGAAGAAATTACCTGGTAGTATACTAGTGACGGACAAAGAACAAACTCTTCTTTACACGATGTGCCTCATCGATAAAGACTAGTGAGCTTATACGTACGATAATACTTGCCACTCTATGTATTTGCTTCATTGATTTGAAATCTGATTTAACAGACTTAGGGGCTTTCACAGAACTCCATTTCCTGCACCGCAAAATTAAAGACACTTAAAATCAGATAAAACCCGAAGATCCAGGAGAGAACGAGGCAAATTAAGTTGGCCGAATTTACCCTAAACACCCATGGCCTAAAATATACAACAGACTGCATGTAGCTGCATTTTAGAATGAGTAATTTGGTGTGTTCTACGTACCTTGCCACATATCGGACAACTTTCACTCCTTTCCAACCATTCATAAATACAACCGAGATGAAAATGGTGTGAGCAGCGAGCAGTGATTTTAGGATTTTCTGGGGTATATTCTGCAAGAAAATAATCACTCGTGAACATAAGCATAACTTCAAAATGCTAAAACGAAGTTCCTTTCCTGATCCAACAATTACAGAAATATGCAAAATTACCATCAAGACAAGTAGGGCAGACATCCTCATCTTCAGCTGAAGGCTGCATATAGTTAGGTCCTTGTGCAACTTTTGGTGCCAAGGTTCTTTCTGATAACTCAAGATGAGAAACCTTAGAGTCTTCTTCTACCTCGACTCCATTCCATTTCCTCCCGATACCCAACGGTTCCACACCAGAGCTGCTTGTATTTCTTCTTAGTGGTTGTGTTTCTTCTTGAAAATGAGTCGCATACTTATCACGCCTAGACACCAAGCCATCACGCTGCAAGCGAGAGTATCTCTGCTCAGCATCAAAAGGAATCGATCTGGATGTTGTAACATGGGTTTCATTGGCTGAATCATCTGAGATTGCAGAAACAATCGCTGTTGATGACAGAGAAGCTCCTTGAATCTGTGATGATACAGGTCGCCCATCCAATCTATGAAACAGTGCACCATACTGCAGATCAAAGAAGAAATGGAAAATTAAGAAGTTATTTCATCAAAGCTAAACTTAGGTGTAAATATACGACATTGCAAAAGCAACAAAATTAACACACTTACCTTTCAAGAGAAACACGGTACATTCACAATCTTTGCATTGCTAATTTAACATCTAAAGAACTTTATCGAATATTTACAAGCTTTACACATTTCATTCTTAAAAAAATTAATTTCATACAAACTGAGGTAAAGAGCAATTAACAAAGTGACATTAATCTCCTTTATACCTTACATTAATTTGCTTAAGAGACATACCCCAGTGAATAGCTGATAGAAGAAGAATCTTAGGCAGATGCAGTGCCTATATATTGAATTGCTAGGATGAGCATATTCTTCATAGTCGTCACCACATGAGCAGCAGCAAAAAGCACCCATTTCTGCTTGCAATGTATGTATCTTTGATTACACAATTCGAGAAATGCCTTTAGGGCTTGCATAGAAATTCATTAACGAAATCGTTCAGCTTTCTTCCGGATACAAACGTTTCCTATGGGATTGAAAGAACCGGGGGGGGGGGATGAAAAGCAGGTTTAGCTTACACGAGAGAGAAAAGAGAACCTTTCTATATATCTGGTCAAAAAAGCTGTCTGAATTTCAACCCTTGGGAGAAAAGTAATCTTATATATAGATAATGAAAGAAAATTAGGAATATAAAGCAAAGCACAAGAACAAAGCTAAGACACCTCTTTCATCAGTGATGGACTGAAACTTTCAAATTCCCATACATTCTAGATATTTTCTTTGTATTTCCTATTGATAATTCTTTTTTCCACCCCACCCCCCACCAAAATTTTATAAATTTGCCTCTTTTAAAAATTTATAAGCACGTCTCCCTCTTAACATAACATCATGAATATGCCCATGTCATTCATTAGCAGCCTGATGGATGCCCTACAGTTCGAGTCTTTTTTTTCCATGATAAATAGGATCCTAAAATTACTCCATTTTATTTTATCATAACCACAGAAGTTCATCTTCAACAATGAGTTAAAACTTACAAGCTACAAAGCAAACACATCGAAGTTTGAGCATTGTTTGTCCTTCAAATGCAAATGAAACAGCAAAACTCCCAAGAAATTCGCAATTCGAGTCAATAACTATACTATAAACAAGCAAAACAGGCAATCTGCTATCTTATTCCGGACAAATTAAGCTACAAAGCAAAACTCTCACCCCAAAAATAGTAACTTTGAAAAAAAAAAACACAATCTTTTTTCTCATCGCATAAACAAAAAGTAATGGGAAAAACGAAACAATACATACCCATCATCGACTACAAGACCAGCATTCTGAAGATCGCAAATTTTGGTATGAAAAGAGCAAAAAGAATCGGAAACAAAGTTAGGGTTCCTATCAGAAAGACTAAAAACAGATAGAGAGAGAGAGAATAGAGGGGAAAGTTCTACTTTTTTTTATATATATAAAGCAGACGAAAATATACGCGCAAGACTAAGACAACCTAACGAGCGGCGTAGGATGGAGGTAAGGGGAAAAATAAAGAAGGCAAAAAGCGCGTGGAAGGGGAAAACAGGGGATTGACTGGAGATGGTAAGGGCTAACTGAAAGAAATGGATTTGGTAGTGGAGTGGACCAGCTTATCACCGAGTAGTTTTTGAGATAAGTATTCTTAATATACAGTTAAAAATATTTTATTAAAAATGTTATTAAATTTTTTACATTTTCGTAAAATGTTATTTAAAATATTATTTTTTATTAAAAACATTATTTTCGCTAACATTTTCGATAATATTTTTTTAGAAAAAAATAATGTTTTAGGTATCATTTTATCAAAAATGATAAACAATTTAGGTAACGCTTAATATTAATGTTTTCGGTAAAAAAATAATGTTTTAGATAATACTTTACTGAAAATATAAAGCTGACCCTTATTCCCCATATGTAATTGGGTAAGGGGAGGTAGGACAGTAGGCTGCCCCCAACGCCAGATTGAGAGCAGCTTCTGTAGGAGACCTCCAAATTATGAAATGCCCTCCGTGGGACTTCGGTGGTTTGGGCATGTCCTTAGACGACAATCGTCGGATGTGGTCAGGAGGGTAGAGTCGATTACAGCCGACGGCGTCAGAAGGAGAGGACGACCAAGGAGGAAGTGGGGTAGACTGCTTGAGATCTGATTTGAAGAATTTAGCCCTTATCGAGGACATGACATCTGATAGAAAATTATGGAAACTTAAGACCAGGATAGCCGAGTAGTGTGGGTCACAGCCATAGGGTGTAACATCTCTTTCTTCTTTTTAATGTCTCTGTAGTAATTTCCATGATTTCTTTTTATATGTTTCTGTCACTGGAATCTATGAAGGCTTAGAACTAGAGTAGTTCATTAGTGTTGTCTTAGTTTAGGTTTTAATCTATTTGATTTTATTCATTCTCGTAACTTACTTTCGATGACTTATGTGTATCATTCTCTTCATGTTTCCTCTTTTTAAATTTAGTCGGGTCTTACGTTTTCTGTTTATATGCAGAGAATTTTTTTTCACAGGAATTTATTTGCAGGGAATACTTTCCATTATAGACGCGCATATGAAGACAGCTTAAGAAGATTGTTCAACTATGTATTTATTTAATTATTTGTACATGCATTGCATTTTATCTTTATTTTTAATTTTCTAATTGTCGGAGGTCTCTCACGGAAGCTGCTCTTAACCTGGAGTTGGGGGCAGCCTACTACCCTACCCCCCTCTTACCTCATTACATATGGGAATAGAGTTCTGTTGTTGTTGTTGTTTACTGAAAATATTAAAAAAAAATATTTCCGATAACATATTTTTTTAATTGTATATTAAGATTATCGTACCTAAACATCATCTTATCATTAAATATTCATTTATCTCTCCGACTTAACTCTTGCATTTTAATTGCCGACACCTATTTATTGCTTAAATTGTTTTTTTACCCGATGATTATAAGATACATTATGTTTAAAATAAATTTTTAATTACTTTATACATATATTTTTGTAGATACTCGAACACAATACTTTCAAAGTAATAATATATCATATTTTATTATTAAAATGATTTTTTATATATATTATAATTAAATGATAAATTATCAGGAGCTTGGAGTATACTTCACGTTAAAATTTATTTAGATTATAAGGTTATAAGTATATAAAAAATGATAATAACAAAACTTTCCTCAACGGTTGCACAAATTATTATTTTGTTTTATATTTTTTTTATAACATTTTACCTCTAATTTTGATTAAAATCAATTTTATTGAAATAAACTGTTAATTGATTATTATCGACATTTATTTGATGTTATTTTTTACATATGTTTAATTATTCGCATGACACGTATCATATCATCATTTAAAGTGATGTGATATATACCGGTCAATAATTGAATATGTAAAGTATCACGTCAGGAATTGAATATATGTATAATATCACGTCAATAATATGTGGTAACCGTTAAATATTAACAATTTATATCTAATAAGATATGTTTTGATATAAAAAGAAAATAAACATTTGAGATTTTTGAAGATGGTGAAGAAATCGTCTCGCCGGTTATCGAGTTTATTATTCTTAGGGTACGTTTGGTTCACGGAATGTAAGATTACCAGTGGGAATAAAAGATTACCAGGGAATAAGATTATTGGGAATGTTGTATTTTGTGTTTGGTTGGTTTAGCAGGAATGTAAGATTACCGTGTTTGGTTAAAGAAATAAAAGATTATTGGAATGTATATTTAACCAAATTGTCCTTATTATATATTTGTTTTTTTAACAAGTTGGAAAATATTTATATTTTCTTTAAAAAATTAATTCATAAATTTATATATTTTTTTACAAAATTGAAAATATAAAAAGGTTTAATGAAAGGGTAAAATTTTATTTTAACCTCTGAACTTCATATAAAATTTTAATTATAGATTTTTTTTTGTAAATCTAAAATAGTTTAAGGATAAATTTGTAATTTAACATTTGTAAAATTTTTATTATTCAATAACATAATAATAATATTTTTGGAAAAACAAAATTTAAGGGCATTTAGTCCAAAACGTCGGTAATCTAACAATACCTAAAGAAATGTAGGTAATGACATTCCCGATAATATATCCCAAATATCCACTATTGATAATGTAAGATTACCGGGAATCACATTCCCGACCAATCAAACGGGGAATGTAAATTCCATTCCCATGAGAATCTCACATTCCCCAACCAAACACACCCTTACATTATTCCCGGTTTCCATACCATCAAAAAGATTATCGAAGAAAAAGGTAAAATAATTTTAAGATTCTATTTAATATTATTGCCTAGATGACAAGTTAGATGGTAAACATTAAATATCATTATATATTTTCACAAATCAAACAATTTTAATGATTGAAGGGTTGTTAATTATTTGAGTTAATCGATTGATTTTTTCTATGTGTATGTTTTATATACTTTTTCCCATTAGTTTAAAAAAATATAATATATGTTTAATTTTTTATTTTTATTTAATTAAGAAGTGATCACCACGAGTTAATTGTCGTTAAATATTTTAGTATAATTATACATTTAGTCTATGTTATTTACACAATCTCTCAATTTAGTCATACTTTTAATAAATTAAATTAAATTTTATTCTCCAATCGAATGATGTCATGTGTCATGGCTACCACATGTCACTATTTAGTTCGAGGATTAATTTTATTTTATTTTGTTTAAATTTAATATATTTTATTCTTATCTTAACATCAAAATATTTTAACGTAAAATATATTAAAAATATGACTAATTAAAATAAATTAAAATAAAGTTAGTCTCCAACTATATTGTGACACATGTCATCATTCGATTGGATGATTAAATTTATTTTAATTTATTAAAAAACATGGCTAAATTGAAAGAATATGCAAAAAATAGGGATCACATGTGTGATTATACCAAAATATCAATGTCACTTAATCTATTAATTGTTAAACAACAGTTAACCCATGGTGACAACATCTTAGTCAAATAAAAATGAAAGTGACCATATATCTTAATTAAATAAATATGAAAGTGATCATATATTGTGTTTTTTGAAATCAACGAAGAAAAATGAACAAAACACAAACATAAGTGATATTAGATTCGAGTACGATATTTATTTATTTATTTGCTAAGCTAAGAGAATTTTGTTAACATAACACCTACGATCCCCAAAACAATAAACCCAGCTCCAACGACTACCAGCAATCTAGCTCCAAGGGAGGAGAATATCCAACTCTCTCCCAAAACACAGTTTAACAGCCAAACACCACGAACAATACTCGACTATAAAGATAACGTTGGATGTAATTCAAAAACCAGAAATCGAACCTTCTCAAAAACATATATCAACCAGTCCAGCAGTTGGGATTGCCTCTTACGACCGACCAGCTTCTCGACTGAAACGCCTTTGCTACCACCGGGGTTTGAACATGGAATGTCACAAGCATTCTTTTGTAAGATGATCTCTCAACGTGTTGCTTTGCCGACGAACATAGAAGAACTGAACCTTCCCTATTGAATGAACCGGTTAATAAATATCGACCAGACGCTGCCACCAACGCCCCCATATGAACTTATTGGATTCAATCGACCCTGTCAACAAACTTGTACAGACCCTTTCAACATCTCTAACTCTATCCATAAAACGACTTGGTCCTCATAAGCACAAGGAACGCACACGACAACTAAAGAATAATTTACTTCAGTCTGGTTCCATTTATGTCTTAATAGGATGAAATTCGATTTCACAATAGTGTTGATCACCCTAAGCTTGATCTTAACCCACACTGACAAATCTTCCAATCGCAACAGATATTCTATAAGACAAGAACAGCATCATACCACAATCTGCAAAACTCATCACTTCCCTACTATTACTAGAAAGCCAGTGACACACCTTCTGAATCTTTTAAAGAAGCTAACTGCATAACTATTTCTTCTTCTGAACCTATAAAATGATCGCTAATTCTTTTCTGTTAAACATATTTGATATTTTGATATACCGGAGGTGATTAATATTTTAAAAAAATTAAGATTAGATTCGATTTGATCATTCGAATATAATTTTTTTAAGGTCAAAAACTCCATTTTTACTCCTTAGTTTATTGAAAAATTGAATCATATACTAGAAATAATTTTCAAACATTTTTACAAAAGGTTATACTCCAAGAACAATATCGATATTGTTCATGTGACATCGATAAAAATAGCTTAAAAATTTAAAGTTGTATCGATACTGTTCATAGCAGTACCGATATTGTTCATAGTAGTACCGATACTCCTTGTGCAATGTAAATTCCAATAAGCTATTTTGGTATCGATACTATACTAGTATTGATACTCGAAGTGAGAGTATTGATAATCCCCTTATGTTTTTAACAAA